ACTAGTGGGTGGAATTGGATAGGTCTAAATTGGTGAGAATATTAGGGGAAAAAAATAGATTTTTTACAGGTCAGAAATGTAAAACAGCAGCAGCTCTGTTCAAAGAATCTTTACTGAAAGAGCCACATGTGCAACATGGCAACATATCTGTAAGTCTTTTTCAAGCTTAAAATGTCCATGTTTAATCTATGGCGAAAAACCACCATTTCTTAGCACTAACATACTATTAGAAATGACATAGAGGTGCTAGTAGAAAATCAATTTAACATAAGGGAAAGTTTTCTTGTTGTTTGACAATTACAGCCAGAATTGAAGGTCTAGCTCTAGTTGCAGTTCACATACACTGTATGCATAATTTACTACTGCAATCCTCAAAACTGACCTACAAAGTGTGGATTGAGCTGTAATGTTGGGACAAAACTTGAGGCTGAACAGATGCAAGATGTGACATCACAACCATGGTGAGTTTCAAACATGCCTGAAAGTGTATAGACAGGGAGGTGAAAGGTACACTTTGAAACTTTTAATAATTTTATGTAGAATTGTTTATTTAGTATTTTCAATATATTTTGTATTTTTAATCTAAGTTATTTTGGGGTGCCTCCTAAAATGTAGCCAGGGATAACAGGTGCACATTAACCTTTCTGGCTCATTTATAGTTACTGTTTGTTAATAGGTGCTGTCCTGACAAACAAATAGAGGAGATAAATAGATAACAACAAAGATTATACAGCGCTTATTTCAAACCAGCGATGTAAATTAGGTTTTAGGACCCAACTGTTCAGAAAGAGCTTATATACATCTAACCTAACAAGGCACATGTGGCTGCTGGAGTGTCAGGATGGTGATTCCATGACAACATCAGAGACCAAGAGTACAGTGTGATGATGCTGGCAGATGGCATACAAAAACACACATGTTTATAAAGCAGGCCACTTAATTTATAGCATGGATGGATGTTTAAGAAAGGCCTCTAGCCTTAGAAACGAAGCGATCTTAATCTAAGAGGGAGCAGCTCAGTCACGCAAGGAGCTCTGAAGTGGTAAGAAGTGCTAGAAAAACACTCTAACAGACTCAGCCCTACGAACAAACAACATCCACTTGCTGGAAACATGCCAGAGGACACACTTTATCAACAGTTTGCTGGGCTAATGTCAACCATGTGCACAGGCAAGCATTCAAACATCACCAGGCCCCTGATATCAGCGTTTCAAAGAGGGATATGCCTGTGTAAAGTGGGTTTGGTGTATGTGTGGTGTGAACCGACCCCGGTTGATATTTAATAGTGTACTTTATAGTGTGGTGAGACTAAACAGATGCATCCGCCATCTCCATCTGTTTATTTCTCTCTGTTGTCAAGTGTGTTGTCCTGAGAGATGCAGTATACAAACATGTCCATGTGCTGCTGTACGAGCACACTGCCCAGCCATGCCTGCTCCATCTGGTGGCTTAGTGAGAATGTGTGTATATGTGGTGTGTGTATTGTGTTGGGAGCTGGACTGATTACGCCAAAAATACAGATATAAACAATAATCTAATTAATGGCAGCTGGGATGGCTACAGAACACATTGGTGTTGAATTGTGTTGTCCAAATAAGCCAAAAAAAATCTATTCTTCCTTTTTTTGTCCTCCTCTGACCCCATAAAATCAAAGCCTTATTATATCATAAGGTTTATTGTTGAGGAGTTACATGGCAAACAATTAAAATTAGCTGAGTTATTCTTTAGTTCTAGTGTTTAATGAAAGTTTGGACACACTGACCAGTCCTGGCGTTAATGGAGTTAATAATGCAACTTATCAATGCTGTCTCACACTTGATTGTGCAAAGAACATCACACTTACTCTGAAGAAACAAATCAATAATAGGTGTTTCCATAGCAATATGAATTCTGTTCTGAACATGAAACAGTTGCGAGCTGTGGCTATTAGAGTGAGGACTTCAGTTCAGACTATACAGTTGTCTGCAAAAGTTTGGACACCCCCAGTCAAGTGACATGTTTTATTGATTTTCTAGGTGAAAATAAGTTAGCACATCCTCTACAGTGAACAAACTTAAATATGACATTCTTCTGCATATTGGAAAAAAATGAAAATATAAAATGTGCTTCCTGTAGAGAATGTGTACTTAATTTCACTTCAGGAAAGAAAATGAACAAGGCACGTCATTTGACCAGGGGTGCACAAACTTTTGCATACCACTATAAATGGCAAAAGTGAAAAAAAAAACAAAACAAAAAAACCTGTGATACACTGTAATTTTCTGCTAGTGCCCTTATGGCATTTCCAATACTATGTTAGGTCTTTCTAGATTAAACACAAACATCCAAAGCTTGATACATCGATTCTATTAATTCCTAATTATGTTGGTAGTTACTCTTACATCCAAGGCCTTCAGTCTAGCTCCTAAGGGGTTAACCAATTGGAGAATTTGCTTGGCTGTATCCTGATTAGACAATATTTGTGGACATTTCAAGAATTTAGCCCTTTTATTTCCAACCAAAAGTGAAAAAGGAAATAGGAACATGACTAATATACTTGTTTAACAAGCACGATGATTCTTAAAATTCTCAGAAATCAACTTTCCTGAAGGCATAGGGGACCCTGGGGGGACCACTTCTCAGAAACTATTACAGGGCATCCAACAATAAAGACTGCATGAGCTTCTTTTATATAGATAGAAAACAGTCACACAAAAAAAGCTCCAATTCCACCTACTGATCCATTTTGAGTGACATGGAGAAGGACATGGCCTAACTATTCTCGGGGTAGATGTTTATGGGTTAAAGGAGACAAAGACTCTGAATGTGTTATCAACATTATGATACATTATATATGGCCAAAAGTATATAAACACCCCACCAAATTACTGACTTCAGGTGTTTTAGTCAGACCAATTGCTAATAGGTGTTTAAAATCAAGCACATAGCCACGCAGTCGAATGGTTCGTACTGAAAACCTCAGTGACTCTAAATTTCATAGGATGTGAGCCAGGCATTCTCACACAACATCAGTGCCAGACATCGCAAATGCTCTTTTCGATAAGAAACGCACACACTCACGCACACACCTTGGGACATGACCTTAAAACTCACTGGAAAGAACTGAAATAAGACAAACATTAAACATTCCATTCTGTTCAAAGGATCTGCCAAACATTCTGATTTCAAAAATTCCCACGGCTTTGAAGTGACGTCCAGTTTGAAAAAAAGATAGAAATATTTCCATTGAGAAGGACTTGCTCTGCTGGATTACCAGAGATGGCATCATTTCCTCTGACCCTGCAGAATAACCTAACCTCCAGCTTGAAGAGGAGCTTTCACTGGGCAAAGGAACAGATTCCAGCATGAATTACCACTCCGAATTAGAATTACTCATTAACACCAAATTCATTGTTTGTACTCTGCTTAGCTTAGATTCAAACTTCTGTTTTCGAAAATTACTCCATGCATCAAGTTGGATTACATAATGAAATATATTCAGCACGCTATGTGCCTAAATCTGGTTTATTGAAGGGTAATAGGGCAATATTTGGTTTATTGAAGGGTCTCCCTACGATGCGTAATCTAAATATCTAACAGGGCTGCATGATATGAATGAAATAACATGATTCTATCACTGCATATCACAACTTTAGTACATCCTGCAGTACTGGATGAAATGGTCATAACATTCAACTCGTTTTACAATTTGCATCAGTACTGTAGACATCAGTATTGTGACAATGAATGTGTTTACATGCAACTAATAATCCGATGACTGCAGAAAATCAGATTTTGTCAGCAATCCGATCAACATGTTTACATGCACTTGAGTAATCAGATAATGGGAAAACTTTGCGTTCACATGAGTCAGGCAGTAATCGGATTTCTGCTTTGCAACCGGCCAATAAACTCACAGAAGAAGATGTTTACATGATGTAAACGTGATGTAAAACTCAAATTTCATGCCATGGCTTTTTTTTTTTAAACATTGCGCCACTTTACCTGAAAATATGAACATACATTATCTAGAAGATAAATCCTTCATTTCATCAAGCATGTAGTTTGTTTCAGCTTCGCTCCAAAAGCGTTTTGCTGCCATCTCGCAGCAAAGCTGCTTGCTTATTTCCGGTACTGTCATGTGTTTTTACAGAGGCAGATTGAGAAATTTGAAAGAAATCTGTGTAAGAGTTTACATGCACTGAGGAATCTGATTACTGAGCTGAAATCCAGCTTTCTTTATCAGATTTCTTAATCAGATTTTTTTGACCTTCCTCTGATCAAAGAAATTGAAGTATGCTGTTTACATGACCGTTTGAATAATCAGACAATTGCAGAAATGATTATGATCGGATTATTGAAAGCATGTAAACGCAATTAATGATTAACAAATGGTAGCCTGTACTATGCAGTATCTATGAAGTAATAATATGCTGATGAAGGACTAGAGGATGGCTAACGCAAGCTATGCTGCAACAGATAAGCTATGGTCTTTAACTTTAAATCTACAAGGTGGTCCAACAAGATAGGTGTATCTAACAGAGTGGACAGTAAGTGTACAGAGTATACAGCTTACACTCGCATAGTGTTACACTCTCCACTACCATGTCAGTGTCACTGGTGTGCTGTACACAAATAATCTGGTCAGTGGTGGTCCTTTTTCATCGAAGGATAGGGTGGAGGGGGTTGATCAATCATCAGTTCTCCAACTCATCTCAAAATGACTGGATGGAGCTTCATCACTCTAGAGAATGCAGCTCCACCGCTTAATACTCGGGGGGCTTTATACCCCTCTAGCCTACACCTAGCATTAGGCCTGAAGACCTTTCATGTGGCGTTTCCATCATTTTCTACACCCCTTGTATCTAGTCTATCTACAGTATATCCATTGCGATGTCTTTAATGCTTCCCTAACCCTGAACACTCCCTCTAATTTTAACCTTAACCCGAAATCTAAATCTAATCCTCACCTAACCATTCAAATGTGGCCAGACAGAGACAGAGAGGTCAGTATGACTTACCCACGCAGAACTCAAGGTGTGGAATTTTTGGGATCAGGATGACACCAGTGTGAGAGGGAGGGGCTGGAGAAGAAACAAAAAAAGAGAAGAAAGTTAAAAAGTGAGAGCAAAACCTCTGCTAAACATAAAGGATCAACTTCACCATATATGGATTAAACCACGGGCTGAACTGCAAAAGACAGTAACATTCACACAAGCAACTTCACAAACACACCTCAGCTGCCTGCAAAAGCCTTGCTTATGTGCATCTAAAATGGCTAAAGCACACATTTATAAGATTAGATATAAGATATCATAACGAATAAGGAAGCAGAAAATTAAAAGAAAACTGAAAAAACAGGAGTGTCTCCATTTTTTCCATTTTTTAGTTTTCTGCATCAGTTAAACGCGGTTGGTATCCTTTATATTGTGAAAATATTATGACCAATAGAAATGCACTAAAATCGCTTGGAATAAATTCTCTTTACATTAGCCTTAGACAGACTTTATTGTCATTCAAATTTACACCATACAGTGCACATTAGAACGAAATTACGTTGCATAGGCTCAGAGTAGATCAGGGAGAATTATAAGTAATACAATGTAGTGCAAAGTGCAATGTAGTGCAGAGTGTGGTGCATATGTAAACATATTTATGTCAACAGATAAATAAATTTTAAACAAGTATATATACAAGAGGAGGTATTGCACTGTAGCTCCCAGGTATGGAGTAATCAAAAAAGAATTGAAGCAGCATTTATTTAGAGTTCAGCAGTCTTATTGCATGTGGGAAGAAGCTGTTTTTGAACCTGGCTGTTCTGCTTCGAAGACTTCGGAACATCTTTCCAGAGGCTAGCAGCGAGAACAGTCCATGGTGGGGGTGGGAGGGGTCTCTGTTTGTGGTCTGAGCTCTGGTCAGACAGCGACTTGTTGCAATGTCCTGTATGGGAGGAAGTGAAGTCCCAATAATTCTCTCTGCTGTCCTTACCACCCTCTGCAGAGACTTCCAGTCAGAGGTGCTGCAGGCTCCTGCCCAGACAGAGATGCAACTGGTAAGTATGCTCTCTACAGTGCCTCTGTAGAAGGTGGTGAGAATCGGAGGGGGGAGGTGTGCTCTTTTCATCCGTCTCAGGATGTAAATTGTACTTTACATTACAAGTAAAGAACATTTTGCCTTCTCTTGTAAAGTTACAATTTCCTGCTTATTTCCCTGAAGCTAAAAAAGATACCTTGTATTTAATGGGCATTTCTGACTGGAAATTAAACACATATAGGATGGTTTCTGACTTTTGCACACTACAGTACTTAAAGTTTTTCCAAATTGAACTCTATCGTTTCCTTCCTTTTAGTTTTAGCATTTTAGCAGTGCAACTAGTGCAACAGTAGACAGTGCTCAGCCAGGTTTCAGGCTTTACACAAAGACATCCTCATCTGGGCATTTATGGATTGTCATGAAAAAAATCCACTTGTAGACCATTCTTCATAAACTGAAAACATGAAAACTTTTTTTCTTTTTGTGAGATCCTATTTAGTTTATGTTGCTGCAGATATTCTAGTTAGATTCAGTGTTGTTTTTATTCTGATAATTCAGACTTATGTACTTTATTTTAAAACAGAATGCAGATACATCACAGTTATCTTCTAGTGCAGGTGACTGTGGAGCCACAGATTAAAGTTGCTATTTTACTGTTATCATACTGTTGATATGGTGCAGTGAATTCCTATGAAAGCAATGCAGCTAGTAGCTGAAATTCTAATTAAATTTTCTGTCCTGTTTGGTGGTCAAGCCACACCAGACTGTGACGGAGGTGGTGATGACAGGTTCTATGATGGCTGTACATGATTTAGTCTATGTTTGGGCTTAATATGGGCTTAATTCCCCACCCTCACATGACAACTGACATTACAGGACAAGTCAGACAGCAACTGGTACAGAAATGATCGCATAACACATTCTCTCATGGGGACACTTATATTTGCCCTTTATCTATTATAGATACGAAGTGTTGAAAGGTGGACAGAGTTAGACATTATGTCCACTAACTCTAAAGGCTAATGAGAGAGAAAAGGGCTAGGAAAAACCCTGCTGCCTTTGCGTCGTCCGCTTAACCTGCCAGGCATAAAGGCTCTGAATGCGGAGTGATTGATGGTGTCAGCCATTTTAGATTATGCAAACCAACTGCAATCTATTTCTCAGACGGCGGCGCGTGTCAGAGCGACAGAACGTGCCCATCCATCGCCGTGAGTGGCTTCAGTGACAGACAGCTGAGAGAGGCCGCTCGCCCCACACCATCTGCCCCACTCACCTCCACCTGGAGGCCTCAGGGGGGCCCCAAAGCACACAGGCCACAAGCAGGGGGTTGTATACACTCCCGCTAAGCCACTAATCTCATCATATCACTCATGTACTCTGAATAATGCACCTGTTCTTAGAGCCAACTGACAGGACAAACGCAAACCCCTGACAATACACGCTTACGTTACGCAACATTAGCGCTACACTCAGACTTTGTCACTGTCCCTTTTAACTCCTTAAAGGCTGCATCCTGAGTAGCCACGGTGCATGCATTTGCTGGCTTCAGCAAAATGGACCAGCATGTGGAGTTGAGCTTTCTATGTGCTAATGTGTTTCCTATCACTGTGTAAAAGAAGCATGTTGCACATCCAAGCACAAAACACCACACTGCCTTTTCTGAAACAGAATGATATTTTGACAATGCATTCCCACTCTAACTTAATATTCACACAACAATTACAAGAAAATGGGCATCACACTATCACACTGGTTTTTGCAGATTTTTTGGGCAACTGAAATATTGGACTCACACACTAAACGATAAGGAATCACACACTATTCAGCTTTTAAGCTGTTGTTGAACTGAACCAAACTCACTGAACTTGTGCAAACTCTCACATTCTCCCGTTACTAGGAGACGCAAATAAGCAAACGTGGAGATGCTGCTGCTGTTTTCTCTGCTGTTTACCCTGACACAGTAAAGAAGCAGCAGGTAAACATGTTTAAATGAGGCTCATGGATCAAGTGTCTTAAACTCATTAAAAAAAGCTTCGCTCCACACGTGAGTGACTCTTCATTATTTTTCTTTGTTTACTAGCTGCATTTTCCTCTGTCACATTCTCAGTTTTCATTGGCTGTTTCAGGAGTCGGTTCAGATTGAGTCATTGACCAATTTACACTGATTACACTCAGAGTTGGGTCAAAAAAAAACTCTGGTCTGCAATGCGATCGGGAGGCCTAAAATCAGAGTCTGCGCCCCTCTCACGCTACTCGATTCTGTCTCCAACTGTCCACTCTGACTGACCCACAAATCTGCAGACTAGAGCCAACTAGCACAGACTCGGCCAGACTGAGAATCAGGGTGAAAGTCGAGTAGTGCAAAACACTTGTAGTTAAATAAAAAGCTTATAATTAGGTCGGTTCGACTCCAGAATTCCTGAAGTTAATTCTGATACCAAGTAATGGGATTTGAAGAAGTCAAGTCTAAGAGTCAACTTCACACAATCATTTTCTCAATTCTCACTGTCCAAAAGCAGGACACAAGCTCCTTTGACACATGCACTTTCATATAGGAATTTAACTATAATTAAAAAGGAAGAGGTTGATCGTGAACAAAGGCTGGACTTGAAATATCAGTAGGATTGACACCTGAAAGCAATTCACCTGAATGTAAAAGTACAGTTTGTAAAACTGCTGGGGGGGCTGCATGTGTGAACAGAAGCTGATACCTTACAGGAAAAACAATGGCCTTCTTTACAGCCAACAAAGCGGAATGTTTCTGCAATGCTTTTCTTTTTACATTGTTGAGTTTTCGTGTCTCACAAATAAAAAACAGCGTATTATGCATGTACTTCTAGTAGCAGACTGCTCGAGGGAAGTGCAAAAGATCTGCTCCTTGAGCACGTATGGCTGCTACTGCGCAAAGGCAATGCAGCATGACTATCAAAATGAAACATTTCTGCAAGGCTTTCGTTTTTACCGAGGGCAGCATCACAGTCCAAAGAAAAACATGTATCTCCAAAATGGTAACTTGTAACTTTTAATACTGACAATGTAAAGAAAAACTGCTGTACAAATATAATGTATTAAAATAAAAATAGGAAAAATGGAGCCACGTTGTCTGTTGGTCTCAGTCACAATGACACATCTGTGTGTCTTGCCTTGTTGACGTGTATTGAAATATGAGTTTTCATTATTAAATCATCCATAAATTTTTCTTTTGTTATAAATTTATTATGATCTTCAGATATTTCTGCATGCTGTTGATTACACATGTGATTTACATGGCACTATATTTATAGTACTCCTCAATTTCCAACAGGTGGCTACACAAAACCTGCCAAAATTTTAAAAAGGAACCTGACACAGCAATAAGAAGTTCCTGTATTATATGTGTCTTATATTTAGATTTGCACGCACTTGCTTAGTTGCAGATAATGTTAGATCTGTACAGACATTGGAAACCAACGTAAGTTTAGCGCGAGCTCTGGTAGAAACACAATAGTCTCTCACACACCAACAAATAAATGTGTGAAACTTTTAAAACAAACTCCCAAAACACACTACAAAGGTGATAATCTAATGTGCACAGTATGTACAGTTCATGGTATACTCTACCTACAATGTACACTTGCTCAGCAGTAACAATCAGTGTTAATAAAATATATAACTATTTTACATCAAGGAAAGATGCTCTGTTTGGGAAATAACATGAATTAAGCTTATTTAAAACCAACACTAAGGAGTTCTCTGTGCTTCACCAACCACATCCAACAACCAGCCATATCTATACACAAATATCACACAGAAATGAGTGATGACTGCTACGTCATATTATCCTATCCTACTTTCTGAGCACAATCTTCTTAAATAATTTAATTTTGGACAGTGATTTTCTTAAACTGCCACTCTGTAATTATACTGAATGCAGTCGGGCAGCTGTGTTGACCACCCAAAAATGGCTGCGCCGTTGCCTGGCTGAACCCAACATGACATCTATATGTGCGTAACTATGTGTATCTATGGTTTTTCCATACTCTTTTACCAGAAAGTGTCAATATAGCACCCT